CTTCCCTTTGAAACAAATCAATTTTGGAGACGAAAAAACGGCAGGAATTAAGTTTAACACCTAATATTAAGTCGGAAGGGACTGCCATTATGACAATATCATCAACGTATCTGATATAAAATGGTAAATCTACCCATGTTTTTATGAACTTTTATCTCCAAATCTCGCAATATAAAGTCAGCAATGATAGGAGAGAGAGGAGACCCCATCGGTGTACCATGACTTTGTTTACAAAACTCATTATTAAAACTAAAAACCGTCGAATTCAACACTAAAGATACTGCCTTTATAAATTCATTCCTAAGGATACATGTCGCTTTTTTTAATAATTCCCCTCTACTATCTACACTTTGTATGGCTAATTCGGTACATTTGTAAACAACCTTTACGGAAATGACCGTCTGCCGAGTGTGCAGTTACTACTGGGAATATTGCTGACTATGTAGTAATTACTACTGACGGATCACACGATAGGCATTACCGCTGAAGTTTATTGGAGGTATTTTACTGCTCGTGTAATAATTACTGCCAACAGATTACAGAGCAGCTATACATATACCACACATTACTAAGGATATGTGATTCCGCATTAGTCTCGAAAGATCGCTTGACCAAGGCAGACGCTTCGGCACGAATGTTACCTCATCCGTATAATTTTGCAAAGCCGAGTTCAGCATTAAACGTGTTTTGCAATCTTACTTTGTTTGTGTACTATTTAATAAGAGCTGGCCGTATTGTGTCTCCTTTCGTCATGAAGATATAATATTATTCGAAAATGTCGATGAAGAATCTTATGAAGAAGTGATAATTTGAAGCAAAAATAATGTTACATACAAATTTTTCGACTATGTAAAAAAAATATATCACTATGTAAAATATATCACTATGTGATGTATTTGGCATACATTTTCGGCATTATATCTTCAAACTCGCTTCATTGGGCTATCTGTAAATTTTGTAAACGAAGAAATTAATTAATTTTGTGTTCTTAAAACCTACGTTTAGGTAATCAATATATTTTTTATTTTCTTACGTATATATAGTTGGATTATTTTCTACATGTGGGCGGTTTCACTGCTAAAGAAGCCGTAAATTTTTCTTTTAAGAAAGCAACATAGGACAATTTAACTACAATCATTCTCTTATTATATTGTACAAAACATCATTAATCTGTTTCTCAATGACTTTCTTAGTAATTTGAATATCCGGCGAGATACGACAGATAATTACAGTCTTGACAAAAATTACAGCTTAACGATGTATTTTACACTTTTGACAATACATATCAAATGAATTCAATGTTTCTGGAGGATTATATTTTTTGCGCTTTGAACAGGACAAATTTCCTTAAGTTTTTAGTATTAAATTTTGGAGCCTTTTTATTGTACATTATTATTATACGTACCCTAATACTTTTATGAACAGAATAATAAGTGTCAATATTAATTATGCAGAAATACGGATCATTCTTTGATGACCTTGATCTCGACATATATTGTCAAGGTCATCATCCTGAATGACCTTCAACAGGTTTTAGCCGTCATTTATTATTCCTTAAAAGGTTTGAAGAAATAATGTCTTATTTCTGCTATATACATTTAATGTATGCTTTCTATTTATATGAGCTTGTGTCAACTTGTGTCGACTGAAATTAGTAACCTGAAATACAATAAATGGAAAGCGTTTTACATACGCAAGAGTTGATGCGCATAATTATACATATGTATCACGCGTAATAAAAGAGAAAGATTGTTTAATTCGAGAGTTAATTTCATGCATAATAAAAACTATAATTTACTAATAAAAACATAGAAAAGTATATAATTTGTAATTATATTTATACTGTAGTGTGTATGTGTGTGTGCGTGTAATTAAAATATTTTTTTGCAAAATGAGTAGGTTATATTTGAATGTAATTAGTAATAAATAAAATTATTTAATAGAAAAAAGAAAATAGTTTATTCTGTTAATAGAATTTATCGGAAAATAACATTATCATCAATGATGACATCGATAGCAGTATTAATTCATCAGATATTAATTTATCAGATGATAGTGACTATAATCTATTTTTGGAAAACAATATTTGCGAAGAAAGTTTGCTATTTCTTCTTCTTCAAATTTTTTCTTCAATTTTTGAATACCGATCGTAGGTAACAACATGTTGACAATATTTTCTTCGTGTAGTACATGCAAAAAGTAATGAAGAATTTAGAGAGAATTTTAGATTAACTCGTCCAATTTTTGGTATAACAGTTAATATGTAATTATTAATATTACTTATATTATATGATGCTTGATGGTAGCATCAAATTATTAAATTGTTTGTCAATTTAATTCGCGATTACTAGAGTAGTTTTAATTGCGTTTATTTAGTCCGGAAAAAATTCGGCGCGCAGTTTGAAAAAGACTACAATATGGTATATATGCAAGTACATATATAGTATATATTAGTAATTCAAGATTGAATTATTTAAAGCAACGAAGATCCAGCTCCAACCGTAATAGGCCGTTACACCCTAGTATTAATTGAGTTTATTAATATTACATTATTTTCATAATAGATAGTATATTTATGATAAAACAGAATGTAAAATTAATTATATATTTAATATAATATATTATAGGACCGTATATATGACAACATAAACTATAGAAATCAAAGCCTTAAACGGTCTAGCTGGATCTTAATGGTTGCATGATTCTTATGTGAATTTATATACTACATATGTAGTCCTCAGAAACGCGCGCCGAAATGATTTTTTCGGTCTTGAAACGCTACACCGAGAGAAAAAAATGGTTGGAATAACCATAATTTAACTATAATTTATAGTTATTTTCGGACCCAACCATAAATTTATAATTGTTTTGACTATATGAATTATAGTAACTTCAACACTACACAGTTAGAAATTTCTCAATGAATTTTAATTGACATGTAAAGGAAGTATGTGGTTATGCACGAAATTAAATGTAATGAATGATGTAAATAAAAATTAAATTACACGTTAATGAAAAGTACGAGATCTGTAACTGAAAAGTAATTTACGTTAATGACATGTAAGAAACGTAAACGTATTAAACGTTAAGTGTTAATAGTATTAGGCTTAATTAAAGTATTATTAATATTCGTAAATGTAAAGTACATAAACTTTTAAGTTAACTTTTAAGTTAAGCGTATTGAAATTTAATGTACTACAAACTAAAATTTCATTAATAGTTATTTCAATTACGATTAATTAAATGTCATTTATATCCGTAAATGGAAAGTATATTAAATTTCATTACACTTAATTTTTCAGTTACTTTAAACTTAAATCTCATTAACACGTGCATTAATAGTCCTTTCAGTTACAGAAAAATTAAACTCAATTCACCAACGTACATTAAAAGTTAATGAAATTTAAGAACATTTCTAACAGTGTACACTTGAAGTTTAATTTTTCTGTAACGTGTTAATGAGATTTAAGTTTACAGTAATTGAAAAATTAAGTGTAATAAAATTTAATATACTTTTTATTTACGGATATAAATGACATTTAATTAATCGTAATTGAAATAACTATTAATGTACAGGGTGCGGCGCCAAAATCCGGACAAATTTCAAGTTGAAATTCCCTCCGTTCAATACCATTGGTAGATGTCGCGATTG